TCTTATGTAGGTTTATAATAATAGAATGGAGATATTTGGGTTATTATTCATGTCCTATGTAGGTTTATAATAATAGAATGGAGATATCTGGGTTATTATTCATGTCCTATGTAGGTTTATAATAATAAAATGGAGATATTTGGGTTATTATTCACGTCTTATGTAGGTTTATAATAATAGAATGGAGATATTTGGGTTATTATTCACGTCTTATGTAGGTTTATAATAATAAAATGGAGATATTTGGGTTATTATTCACGTCTTATGTATGTTTATGATAATAGAATGGAGATATTTGGGTTATTATTCACATCTTATGTAGGTTTATGATAATAGAATGGAGATATTTGGGTTATTATTCACGTCTTATGTATGTTTATAATAATAGAATGGAGATATCTGGGTTATTACTGGTTCCTTTTTGATATATTTCATTAAGAAACAAACCATATTTTTCCTTGATTGGTACAGATTGTGATTTATACGTAAACAATATTCTAGAAACTTGTTGCTCTACAGTAAATTTTAGCAAGAAAACAGACACAGGCAAAAACCATGTACAATTGTCTTGTTTATTCTCAATTGTGTAATTATGAAGTTTCTCCAAGTACTGATGGTTTCAAGTATCAATTACCTATACTTAATGGTGTGTGATGTGTAGCTACATACAGTAAGCATGTTTTACAATAGCACCTTTTGCTTCCAATTAAAAGAACTGCAACTGACCTAAGCAAAACAAATCTTTATTTAAGTGTCACCGTTCCAAGCAGGTTAACAGTCAGTCTTTATAACATAAAATTGTTAATTGATTAAATATACCAAATAAACAATGGAACAGAGAAACACCAACAATTTAGTTAGAAAAGAAGTATTAACCTTCAACTACAACACACAGTCATATAAGTCACCCTTTGTTCTCCTGGAGAAGAATCAACTATTCGAAAGCCCTAGAGTTTTGGGTCTTATTTTAAGTCATATAAGCGATATCATTAGTCATATTTTTACAACACAAAGTCATATTTAAGCGATATTATTAGTCATATTTTTTACAACACAAAGTCATATAAGCGATATTATTAGTCATATTTTTTACAACACAAAGTCATATAAGCGATATTATTAGTCATATTTTTTACAACACAAAGTCATATAAGCGATATTATTAGTCATATTTTTTACAACACACAGTCATATAAGTCACCCTTTGTTCTCCTGGAGAAGAATCAACTATTCGAAAGCCCTAGAGTTTTGGGTCTTATTTTAAGTCATATAAGCGATATTATTAGTCATATTTTTACAACACAAAGTCATATTTAAGCGATATTATTAGTCATATATTTTACAACACAAAGTCGTATAAGTGATATTATTAGTCATATTTTTTACAACACAAAGTCATATAAGCGATATTATTAGTCATATTTTTTTAAATTATTAGTCACGTGTAACAAATACAAATTATCAGTCATATTATATAGGACAAATAGTCTGTAAAAATGTAACATTTAGCCTTCTGACAGGGTAAGCTTTCCAAATAAGACCATCATGATGTTATTAGACATACATATACGTAACATATTAACACTAGAAATAAAGGACCTTATAACACCAAAATGTTTTTTTATTTAATTAAAATAAAAACAACATTTTGGTGTTATAAGGTCATTTATTTCTAGTGTTAATATGTCTTCTATAGGTCAGTATGCACTAAAGGAATTAAATAATACACGTGATATAACGTAACTCCGTTCTTCATGAACACTAACAATGGTGATCATTCATTAAGCTTTATTTTAAGTAAGCAATGTTCTGATATCAAGAGTTGATGTTTGAAGACACAAAGAAACTCAAGATAATCCATACCAGATGCATCTGTTCTATCCTGTTCTTTACACATAACCATTACAGTAGCAAAACGTGGAACATGAAATAATGCCTTGATGTTTCACCATTACAGTAGCAAAACATGTAACATGAAATAATGCCTTGATGTTTCACCATTACAGTAGCAAAACGTGTAACATGAAATGATGTCTTGGTGTTTCACCATTACAGTAGCAAAACGTGTGTAACATGAAATGATGCCTTGGTATTTCACCATTACAGTAGCAAAACGTGGAACATGAAATAATGCCTTGATGTTTCACCATTACAGTAGCAAAACATGTAACATGAAATAATGCCTTGATGTTTCACTATTACAGTAACAAAACATGTAACATGAAATGACGTGTTGATGTTTCACCATTACAGTAGCTATACATGTAACATGAAATGATGCCTTGGTATTTCACCATTACAGTAGCAAAACAAGTAACATGAAATAATGTCTTGATGTTTCACTATTACAGTAGCAAAACGTGTGTAACATGAAATGATGTCTTGATGTTTCATCATTACAGTAGTGTTTTGATACTGTAATGGTGAAACATCAACACGTCATTTCATGTTACATGTTTTGCTACTGTAATAGTGAAACATCAAGACATCATTTCATGTTACATGTTTTGTGTAACATGAAATGATGTCTTGATGTTTCACCATTACAGTAGCAAAACGTGTGTAACATGAAATGATGTCTTGATGTTTCACCATTACAGTATCAAAACATGTAACATGAAATGATGTCTTGATGTTTCACCATTACAGTAACAAAACATGTAACATGAAATGATGTCTTGATGTTTCACCATTACAGTAGCAATACATGTAACATGAAATGATGCCTTGGTATTTCACCATTACAGTAGCAAAACAAGTAACATGAAATAATGTCTTGATGTTTCACCATTACAGTAGCAATACATGTAACATGAAATAATGTCTTGATGTTTCACCATTACAGTAGCAATACATGTAACATGAAATAATGTCTTGATGTTTCACCATTACAGTAGCAAAACATGTAACATGAAATGATGTCTTGATGTTTCAGTATATGTACTTCATTATACTTTTTTTTTTACAAAGGTTCAACATGTGGTGAAATAAGCATCGAGTCATGTCTGGAAAAGATCGCTGAAAGTATAAATCTTGCTCACAGTAAAACCTGTTCAGTCATAACAGGTGAGTAGATTTTAAACCCAATAGGAATGTTTTAACTTGTTTTCTAAACTACTCTTTCCAGTTCAGTCATAACAGGCAAGTAGATTTTAAACCCAATAAGAATGTTTTAACTTGTTTTCTAAACTACTCTTTCAGCTTGTGTTCTTTCTTCTCAAAATTAATATACTTGTTGAACATTTGTAGTTGTTAATATGCAAATATTTCTCAAAATGTATATCCTTAGGTATTGTATTCTCTACATCATAACACTTACTTCATTTCATGATTTCTCTGTTTAGGATTTCTTGTTGGTAATACCTATACAAACTTAGACAGGGTATTTTAGTATCCTGAGTCTGGTTTTGTTAGTTCTGTTACTGATCATAAAGTAGCTGTAACCAACAGTGTGAGTTGTGTGTTGTTAGTTTTGTTATTGGTCATAAAGTAGCTGTTAACCAACAGTGTGAGTTGTGTGTTGTTAGTTCTGTTATTGGTTATAAAGTAGCTGTAAACCAACAGTGTGAGTTGTGTGTTGTTAGTTTTGTTATTGGTCATAAAGTAGCTGTAAACCAGCAGTGTGAGTTGTGTGTTGTTAGTTCTGTTACTGATCATAAAGTAGCTGTAAACCAGCAGTGTGAGTTGTTAGTTCTGTTACTGATCATAAAGTAGCTGTAAACCAGCAGTGTGAGTTGTTAGTTCTGTTACTGATCATAAAGTAGCTGTAAACCAGCAGTGTGAGTTGTGTGTTGTTAGTTTTGTTATTGGTCATAAAGTAGCTGTTAACCAGCAGTGTGAGTTGTGTGTTGTTAGTTCTGTTACTGATCATAAAGTAGCTGTAAACCAGCAGTGTGAGTTGTGTGTTGTTAGTTTTTTATTAGTCATAAAGTAGCTG